TAATATATAGTAGAAAACACCAACTTTATCACTCCCTAATCATATTTGCAGCATAAAAATAACACATGTTGCAATTACAGCATATCAACCTATTTTCATTTCAATCCAAAATAAGTCTATAAATAGGTGGCTGTGGCAGAATACGTTTAAAATATTTTTGGGTAGTTACAATTAAGTGCTCTGTGGAGTGACGCTGTTGGAAGGAGAATTTCGAGGTCCACAACTCATAGATAGGCCCACAAACTGGGATTTAGCATTTGCAAGGTAAGTTTTCTTACAAAAAAAGTGAAGTAAAAACCCTAAAGTTGCACAACTTGTTTATAGACCTAAGAAAAGCCACTATTAACTCCACTGCAAAAGAAAAATCGGCTTAGATGGAGTGATGAGGCCCGATTCGAAGTTTATGTTGGTGACAGTAGAGTTATTCGCAAAAAAATGAAGCATTCCATGTTGACTGTCTGAAGAGAAAAGTGAAATTTCCAGCATCCATCCAGGGGCAGTATGTCATCAAAAGGAGTAGGAAAACTTCATTTTATTATTATTTGGCAATTTTAGAAGAATCGCTTTTACCAGTGATGGAAGAATGTTTGACATCCGGCCAAGATTTTGTGTTTCAGCAAGATGGTGCAGCGTGCCATACCGCAAAAATGGATGGAAGAAAATAATGTACCACTTTTGAAATGGGTTTTTAGCAGTCCAGATCTGTCACCTATTGAAACTTTGTGGCACGAGATGAAAAAGGTTCTACGACAACATCCTGCTCGTACAATCACCGAACTGAGACAAAAAGCTTCAAGAAATATGGGATTGTTTTACACCAAATTTTTGCCAAAACTTGGTTAACACTGTGCCCCAAAGAATTTCAGCCGTAATAAAAATAAAGGTGATGTTACCCAATGGTAGTCTTTCAATTGTTGCTTTGTTAACTTCGCGCATTTATTCGTACATTGTTTATTTGTTCCGATGTTCTATTTGTTATAGGTCTAAGTGTATATGAATTTTTTACGACTAGAGTGTATCTAAAATGTTTTTGAGAAAATAAATTATTTTAGAACTAAATAGTTTCGTCATGTTTAGTTTATAAAGGCATATTTTGGTACAAATCTTGAAGTGGGCCAACTGAAGTGGGAAGGGGCTCGTAGATGATGGAACTGGGAACTCAACGCGAATTCTAAAGCTTCTATGAGTACTACGAATTCTTTGAAAATCTCCATCTATAAGCCTGTAAACAACTAATAACAATGCACTACTTATTCGTAATTCTTATACAAGCATATCAATAGTTGACCTTCACATGACATCAGAATTAAACTCTTTGTTTTATTTCACCCTGTAAGGCTTTGACCATTCCAGAACCTTCTCATCCTATCAAAATTCTCAAGTTAACGACAGTTTCGGATACATGTACGAAAACTGAATGCTTCTTTATCACCAAACAATACGCGCAGACACCACAAAAGCTTAACAGAAAAACCTGGCTATTTTATCACTTGTTCATGGCAAGATAAGTCGATGTGTAAAAAATTCTTGAATTCCAATAAATATATATGTGTGTATCTTTTTTTGACACTCAGTATATATTGTTTAAGCTATACAAGCGACTTCTAGAGCATACAACAAAATACGCAGGTTATTATAAGTCGGCGCCATAAAAGCGAGGAGCAAAGCATAAAAATGTAAGGTTGTTAATCCTCGAATCTGCATATAGTAGTGGCGCCTCGTTGACGCGCGGATTAGCTCATAGTAAGAATAAGGATCATTTATGATGACCCTTGGTAAGTACTATTGCCGAATCTGCGACAATATTTCCCAGACTGTCGCCTGATAGACGTGGAGACAGACAAATCAATGCACTTGTATCATTGTAAATATCAAAAACAGCAAGCTTATTCCTTTCGGGCCTAGTTGTGATGGGTTGTTCTCAAGTTGCTAGCATTAAAAGGGACAAGTCGTAGACAGTAGACATTACGGTACATATAGTCCAGGCGACGGTATGGTAATTATTTTGTAGCAGCACTAAAAGGAACAATTCGTAGACAGTAGACAGTACGGTACATACAGTCCAGGAGACGGTATGGTAATTATATTGTAGTAGCATTAAAGGGACACGTCGTAGACCATAGACATACCGTAATCAGTACATATAGTCCAGGAGACGGTATGGTAATTACATTGTAAAGCTGTTTAAAAAGGGTATTATTGGTTAATACTATATTACATAGCATCTTAAAGAGTTTGTTAGTCAATGCATCTAACATACCTCGCCTGACGATGGCCAACTTGATGCTATATTCCCACATACAAAAAATTATCCGAGATAAAATGCGATACCATGGCGTGACCTATAAGGATTTGAACCCTTTCAAAGTATATACAGTAAAGAGAGAAACAGCTGCGAAAAATCTTCAATGATGATGCGACGTTACCTCATTGTATCTCCAACGATTCTTTGGACGCGGAAATATAGCGTTAGGTTGGATACGTCAATCAATGGTCCATGTAATTCTACTGTGAAACTATCTCTTATTTAAAGATTTGTCGAAATTACCTGAAAAGGCACCCTTTGGGAATAAAGGACCCCCTTTTCCATGGCACTAGACACTCGCAAAGCACAGAAACAACTGAGACTAAAACTAAATATGCCAATATTTTCACATTACTGGTAGAGGAAAGGTAATTAGCAAAATCTGGCTTAATTTACTTATCAAGGATATCACTGGACAGGTAATGGTATCGTCACTACTAATCAAGATCATGAGAAGGTTGTAAGTTTGTTCCGCAGATGGAGCCATAAAAATATATAATAGTTCCAGAAGCACTTATACTGGATATAATGTTAATAATGTAAACACCATGTAGTTAGGTCGTTAAAGGATTTGCGCTACACTACTATATGGCTCGAATAGTCTTTCTCGCAATAGTTCCATATCAAAAACCATATAAGGATTTTTAGTCCAGGATCAATTTTGTTCTAAGTCGTAACCATTTCATCAAAGACGAGACACAATTCACATAAGAATTTTACTTGAATACTTTTTAATGAACATAGTAGTTCTAGAGCTATTGATGTATACCTAGATGGTACGATATAAACTTGTGTGTTTGAGTTACAGTTTTACGATAATGCAATTATAATAACGAAAAAAAAATGAAATTGAGCTTTATTTGATATTGTAATGTTAGTAAAAACGTTGCCACACAGCTTTGTCAATCTGTCACATGTCCGGCAATCCTTGGCCCATTATAGCTCAGAAAGCATTGTTCGGATTTTGATGAAATTTCGACATGAGCGACATATGTCAGGAAGTTGCAAAATGTTTATAACGCTCTAAAAATACACCTTTATTTTCTTTTTCTTTTCCTATCCTAAGTTATCCAACCTGAAAGGAGCGTTCATAGAGTTACATCACACAAAAAATAATAATCATGAAGTACACGTATTAGATACAGCCAATGTTTGAAAATTTACTTATTCCCTCTATATCCTCAAACTAATTTTACCTAACTAAATACCTCGCCTAAATAGCTGTGAACTCAAATACTACATAACGCGCGAAAAAACCGAGCAAAAAATTTTTTGAAGGTAGACAGCCATGTTTTCTAATTTACATTCATTAAAGCAAAGATCGATAAATCGATCAACAGTTTATGTGCCAGGCTATTAATAAGTTACACCTGTTCAAATAGCCCGTATGTAGATTAGGATATACTGTTTTGACTGTTATAGATGAGGTGTGTATATTTTCTAGGATTGCAATGTACCGGGTTTGGTAGATGGTTCGATGGACCTTACAGGAAGGTCTAGCTTTAATATATTTGTTTAAAGATCTGCTGCTGAATTGTGATATTTTTAGTAACAAAGTGTGAGAGTAATAAAGATATGGATCCTCTTCCGAAATGTGTCTTGTCCTACTCATATTGCCTAGTACACAAACCTGTAAAATTTCCTCAAACCGTTTTTCTTCCTATAGACAGCGTCTGGTAAGAAAAATGAAATTTATATTCGGTAGGGGTTGGCAGTTTTAAGCATCATTAAGTTCTAAGATATGATACAGAACAGGGATTATGCAAGGACATTATTTTTGCTGAATATGTGAATAAAATTTAAAAAAATATATAGGAATGGAAAGATTCAAGTCATTCACTTGAAACGGCATCTTTTCTCAAATACATTTGTTATAGGTTCTCCATAACCTGTCTATTATTCAAGAAAAAGCAGAAATAAGAACTTTACTATATCACTGCATGTCAGGGAACAAAATCTGAAAGGCTCGAGATAAGGTGAAGAAGACATCAAATGTTGTATCAAGATTCTATAATTATGATTTTAATTTACAATTCTCAAAGTTCGAGGTGCTTAAGATTATGATACAGGTATCACGAAGCTCAGCTTACAGCAAATACTATGCGAAAACAATTTTCCAAAGACCTCGTTATGTGGTGCATGCTGTTCATGGAATAGGCTGATAGCGCAGGTTCGGTAACATCTCTAATTAAATAATATCTTTATAACTTTCAATCTGAGTCATGCCCGTATAAAACTTAATACTATGATTCACACCATGCAACGCTTCCCAGAATGTTCTTAAACAAGTCTGTGAATCAATTGTTTAGTATTCCAAAGGAACTTCAGTTATGCTGTTACACTGTTGAAAATTATCCTAAACAAAACTGTATTTGAGATTCTATTCGTGTAGTGTGGTTCATATAATTATAAATATTTATAGTGCATATAAAACAAACCAAGTAGAATAAATAGATACTGCTAAAAAATTTAATGCAGATTCAATTGTGGGTAGATTATTTCGTGTCCAATATAGCTCTACCGTTCATTACCGACTCATCACTATCGTACCACTATACACCGGATGCTATAGATGGTACGGATAAATTATTTACGTAGTACACTAATTTGGGCGATAATGTAACTTTTTCAAAATATGAATGGAAGTACCGGCAAAAGAATTATGTATAGTTAATCTACTTTTCTTTTGTTCCAGTGAGCCCCGTGGACCAAAGATTTCCCGGCCACCACAAATTCCGGCTGAAGTTCGATGTGAATAGCATCCCAAAAGAAGAAAAGCTTGAAGCAGCAGAACTGACTCTGAGTCGATCGAAACTTCATTGGACGACAGATAATGAAAAGGAGCATTTCCAGAGGATATTAGTCAACGATATCGTCAAACCAGGAGTCAAGGGAAAACATGGACCTATCACAAGGCTGGTAAGAGCAATAACAGCTATCAATTCTATGTAAGAAATTTTGCTTCAACAAAGCTTCCAGATGAGCTCTCATAAATGAATGAGTACAATATCGTTAAGTTACCCAACACGTCCCAATAAGCAATAAGCCAAAAATATGAATAGGAAGTAGCCATTTTGATTGAAGATTGGATAGTACTTGTTTTGAATGAATGTCCCAAATTTTCTATTCGGTAATTTCCTAGAGGTTTGAACACACGTATTCTTTACACAGTTTGGTCATTTATCAGAAGTGGAGTATTATTATTTATTGGCACAATAATGCACTAAAGAATGAAATACACTGTACATATACATTACATTATCATTTTTTAAATGAGTTCTGTGACGTTTTTCAGGTGATTTTAAGAGATTGGTCGATATAAGGTACCAACTAGAAACAAAATTATACGTAAAAACCTTATGTGGCACGGTTTTCAGATTTTCCTTTAATTTACTAGGTTGCAGATCTCTAGATTTAGAACAACGGTAAATGATATGCAATAGTTCTATGATATAGCTATATTTACGTCCTGATCATCATTCCTTTTTTCGGGTTCACCGAGATTGCAATTCTATTACGTATACTGGTTGCATGGACAAAATTGCTTATTCGTATTTTTATTCCCTATTTGGATAAGCCTCAATACTTCTGCGTTTTGTCTGGTACTTCTTGAGATACTTTGTCGGAAAAAACATTAAAGTTTATCAGCTTATCGACCACTTCACTACACAGAGTGAAAGTTTCAAGTTCAAACACACTCAGCATACAAGTGGGATTTGAATATGTGAAATTATACACGTATCCTATCTGAATGTTCTGAGGAATAATGGGTTATGTTTTTGAGTACCCTGTATGACTAACTGACTGAAACAAAATTGCGAAATTTTCGAAGTTTATCCGAAAGCCATTTTCCATAAGGTGTTTCGGTGTGCTTTGATAAAATATAGTTTACCTATTCTCTTTATTCTTTTCAGGTCGACAGCAAGCTGATCGACACCCGAAAAAATTCGACGATTAGCCTGGACGTACTGCCGGCAGTACTCAGGTGGATACAGGATCCCAAACAAAATCACGGCCTGCTGATCACAGTCAATGGAATTGCGAGGAATAAGACAAAACCGGCGCATCATATCAGACTCAGGAGGAGCATCGCACAACAGGGAGATAGTAGTAAGTAAGAGAACTATAGTTTACAAACTATAGTTTTATATGGTCAGAAAATAGTATCTTATTTTGAAGAGAATTATGTGTTCCTTTCAAATCAATTGGTTGCGAAAACATTGAGGTTAGTGGAAGACTAAGTCAGTATATTTCGCCTCATGTCACTCCCCCATTCTGACATGGGGGTTCCTGTAGTATCTTCTTAAAAACATGGAGATGACTGTAGACATAACTTTGTAGATATGAGGATACACACTTTGCCTTCAATATACACATACAATGTATTTATTATAACGACTACAACACTAGAAGTATGGATACCGTGAATATTCCACTTTTTATTCTGTCTGAAAGCCAAACACACGTATCTAGTAGGAAGATATATAGCTTCAAGATATTTCAACAAACTTCGATTAAGAATCAGATCTTTAATGAACGCTAATAAACAAACAAGGATTTTTTAATTAGAAAGGCATTTTACTCCTACAACGAGTTTTTTATTTTAAATTTTCAATTCTAAGTTTTCTCAACTATACTGAATTTTTAGCTGTATTTTAAATATTATTGTTTCAATTTATTCTTATAATCATGCTTGTATATACTACATATCATATATTTGATCATTTATATAGTATGACTTCTGTAAGTACAATCGATGTACAATGATACCAATAAATTACCAGTATTTGTGTAAGAGTTAAAACGATACGTTAGTTTATTTGAGGAAAATCTTAAAGTGCGTACGGTTCCAAGTAATTGAGAATATAGGTCACTCATGATGTTTTATTGAGGGTTTTTCTTGTTTCCAAAATAGTTCTATTTCAAACTTCCTCTTCCAGCAGTCCAGAGTGAGTCGCAGGCGACCACAAGTGATGACTGGCCCTCAGCGCAACCATTGCTATTGACGTATACTGATGACGGAAAGAACATGCAGCGAACGGGACGCCATCTGGCGGACATCCCGCGCAGACGGCGAGCAACCAAGTATAAAGGCAGACGTCGAGAAGAAAAGCGGGAACCGTGCGCTAGGCACAAGATGTACGTCGACTTCACTGACGTGGGATGGAGCGACTGGATTGTCGCACCGCCAGGGTAAGTGTTATTCTTCTTCAAACTAAGCTGACAGTCTACCTGAAACGCTATTTTACCTTATACTGCTTGACTGATCGTACCAACGTTGAAGTTACTTCTACGTTGATTTTCAACATCCCCCTTCTGATCTGTCGCGCTTTATCTGGTCACTAATTAAAATTCCATCCTTAAACATACTTCTTGTATATAACGTATTTTGCAACTGTGAAGTCTAGTGCTGTACTGAAGCCTCGAGAGGTCTTGTTTAGGTTTGTGGACTCCACAGTGTTAGTTTAGCTTATAGCTGGCATTTTTTCTTAGAGAATGTCGATTCTTCCTGTGCTATTCTCAATCTGAGTTTCAACCGTGCTTATTCACATTCGTAGAATCATTTATATTGGGCAGATTTGATGCCTATATTTTCTCACCAAGTTAACCTATGAGTCCATAATACGTACAAAACGGAACACTCATGTAGGTAGGTAGAAGAGCTATGTCCGTCTTTTAAGATGACTATGCGAAATCAACTTCAAAATTACGTTTCTGCCCCAAGTCTACAAAATGGAATTGGATCAATAGAATTCAGCTTCATACAGCGAGAATCATAACTTCCAAAATATGATAATGCAAGGCATAATTGATACCCACGAATATTCCAAACAAACTGAGAGGAACTTTCATAATCGTCAATGTTGAGCATCCAGCGCGGAAAGTATTATAGCCAGGCAAAATCGCTTGCAACTTCCTGTTTCCTAAATAGTGAAATATACTTTCGAACAGCTCACAAACGTTTCTGTCTCTTACTACGTCTTGAATTAAACAGTGAATTTTGAACACCAAAAAGTATATTTTCATAAGTAGTATCATCAGGGCGTCTAATTTTTCCGAAAAAAAAACATTGCTAAGTAATATTTCAAGACGAGGATCTTTGCACCAGCACGTAAGTTTTTTGTTAAGAAAATATTACTTTGCATTGTATTTTTTGGGTATTTTTAACAGGAAGAAATTAGATGCACGAATGGTATTTGGCAAGACTATTTCACGAGTAACAAATTATTGATTTTGTTCTAGGTGACCATAATTACTCGTTACCAAGGATATTGTAAAGTTTTGCCGCGGGTAAACTCGAAAAAACTGCTGACAGGTGCTGTCATACAATTTTTTCAACTAGAAACCATTTGTAATTCAAAATTGCGCTTTTGTGATAGGTAGAAACTAAGAATTAAAGGAAATAGTCACCAATATTAGTCATCTTTGTCTCCTTGATCGTATTGCTGATTTGTCCGTTCTCACCCACTCACCCTTCTTTTCACTAACCGTCAGATTCGCGTTCTATCTGTGCTTTGTCTTTTTCCATTTCTTCCTATTTTCCACTAATAATGTCTGATTCCCAGTTACTCAGACACTCTTCTGTTTGAAAGATTGTTTTCCTCTTCTTTGATCTTTTTTCGCTTATTTCCGTCCCTACTAAACCTGGTTGCTCCCTACCGGTTCATCCCGTTTTTCGTTTCCTGTTTTCTTCTTTTGTCGCTCATTTCTCTTCTTTCTCCTTACAAAGTTTTTCTCAGTGGTCTACACATGTTATTCCTTCTGAATGTCTTGCCTGTCTTTGCCATTATTCTCCTCTCTTCTACCGTTCTTTTTTTGTTTTCCAATGACTGGCTGACTGACTGAAAGGCAAAAGTAGTACCAAAACTCTACCTGTTCTGATTTGTGTAACGTTTTGCGTGTGAATGTATTGGAAAATATAAAAGATGTATGTTTAAAAAAGTTTTATAACCTTATTTTTCTTTTCAGGTACGACGCGTACCATTGTCGCGGCGAATGCAGCTTCCCTTTGGCAGCGCATCTAAACACCACCAATCATGCGATCGTTCAAACACTCATGAACTCCGTGAATCCAACCAAAGTCCCTAAAACATGTTGTGTTCCCACCGCCCTGAACTCCATATCCATGTTGTACGTGGATGATGAGAATAAGGTGGTGCTCAAAAACTACAAAGAGATGGTTGTCATGGGCTGCGGTTGCCGGTAGTCGCATCAGTTAGAATGACAAATGACAGGTGACAGTTGATTTGTGGGATGATTTCAACGGGTTCTTGTATTGTGGAGATGATGTTTTGGACGAGGAAAAAGTTTAGCAATCTGCTATGGAGTTTACCAAAGTACTAATAGTCCGGGATAGCTTGTGCATGGTATGTCAACAAGTGCGTCTAGATGATGGTGCAAACTTGTGGTATATTTTCTATCGTAAAAGTCAAAAACAAACAATAACCGGATTTTTGACCAACGTCTATACGCCCTTGTTTAAGGTTGTATATGCAGTTGGATTCCTGCAAAATATCCTTCTTTCCTAAATTTAATATGACTCACAAAGCCGAAAAGTACAAAAACTAAATATTTTCGTCCATTTCTCTAAGTTATACCACAGAACCTACTATTTGCACGTTTGTAAATTTATTCTGTGTCGACTAGTTCTTGAGATACTCGAATACGGATAATTCTTCATATGATTTTAGAAGAGCAAAGACTTTTCGATTATGCATATGAGAATTTCATTTATTTATTTGATTTCACCCAAAGCATGCGCCCTCAAAGTTAGACGTTATCAAAAAATATCCTACGTAGAACCAAATATATTGTCGTCCAAAGATCCGCTCACACAAGCCCGTCATATTTTTGCGTCTGTGATTGTTTCTGAATTTGAAGAAGCACCGTTTAGCAATCTGTACAGAGTCTCCCAGTGAATATGTTTTTATAATGTTATAATTTTATGAATTTGATAACAATTTAACATAGTTGTGCTTTTACAAAGAGCGACAAATATAAACATCAGCCGCAAATGTTTTTTAGAAGGGGTGGTGGGGAGGATTGTTTGCTTTTTTTGATGAAATTATTTTGTTTTTCCCAAAATTGCCATAATTTGCCCTGATAAAAGTTTTAATAAGTAATACATATACTAGTTGGAACACATATCCTTCGATTCATAAATGTAATAACCGAATTTTGAAAGGAAAACAAAGAACCCACTTCACTCTCGAAGACCTTTGCGGCACATATTGTTATGTTAGTGCAAACTTGCAATATGTTTCTGTCTGTGATTTTACATTTATAGGCTTGTATATACTTTTTGTGTGGTTGTAGTAATAATATTATCATGTGAACCGGAGTATTTTGCTGGAGCTTGAACAGATATTTGAGAATATATCACATAAGCATTTCTTATGTAAAATGTCGGCTAAATAGTCATTTAAGATCGAGTGAGAAAATTAAATGTCTTGAAGATGTTGAAAAGATACGAGCTGCTCCAATTTTTAGTGTTGCTACGAGTTGGATCAGCCAGTGGTAAAAATGACAAATTTGTTTTTAGAATCCCTGAAGATTGTGGGTATTGACAAAAAGTCGTGACAATAATGACCGATGCATTTGAATGATCAACTATTTCCTGAACCATGAACCTGGACGAAACAATCCCAAAATAAAGAAGACAAATCATAATATCTGTATGTTTCGTTTCGTTTATGGAAGAGTGAGTTTCCTGTAAAAGCCGTTAAATAGCTTGGTTACCAATATTGCTCAGCTAGAAACAATTTATGTAAGCTTTATAAGTCTACCCGAGCAATACATGGTATAGTTTTGTTTATTTGCAAGAAGGATACAGATACACGATTTCAAGAAGGTAAGGTTACTGCACCAATTTAGTATCTGTCAAAGAAGGATGGTATCACGTCTTTTGTTCTGTCTATACGTATAAAAAATATATGTTAAAAAATTTTTTCTGGCATCTGACATCAGTGCGATAACTCTGCCAAGGCAGGGAGAGGCTTCGAAATTAGTTAAAGCATATTCCAACGTCTTTGATTTTAGAATTTAGACCTCACATATAGCGATCAGTTCAATGTATCCCCATGTAACACATTCACAGTTGTATATTTGAAAGTCAAATTTCCACTATACATTCTTATTAGGAGTACTCGAATATGATATCTTATTCAAATTTCTCAGGTATTTCGATAGATACATATCTACCGTGAGTGTACACACGCCTTATATACAGGGTTGGTCATCATTGTCAGGCTGTATCAATGTCGTTCGCAATTTTTGATAAAATCTCCCATGAATGTCAAAACCTTGTACTTTCAAAGTAATGTTCTCAAAATTTCATGCAATTACTCTGTGTGCAATATCCGTATCCTTCTTGGCATATGCATCTGACAATTGGTCAAATGTAAAATATTAGTACCTGTATAAGGAATATTTATTTTATTAATTATTATTATATGAAAATGTGCATATTGTACATAGTTTTTAAATTAACCATATAAAATGCTGGATTTACGTATATTAGCGATAATTATACACGTATAAGCCAGGTAAACACTTAATTCTTGTGAGTCATATGCTGTTGAGGCATCTACTAATACATAAAACTTGAAATACGAGGGGTATGGAAAAATTACAAATGACATTTAACTGGATAACCATGCAACTTAGTATTTAAATCACACCAATATTGAGTTTTAGAAGTTTGCTTCGTATTTACGAAAACACGAAACATCTCATATCACACATTTTGCAGTGTCTAACATATTTACGAGCTCTGGTCAGCTATGTTGCATCTCATAGTATAGATAACGTATTACTGAATATTCTTGCAACCCTCGTATATCGATTTCACACCTGGTTTCAATATAAAATATAAACAACGTTGTTGTGAAAGCATGCTTAAATCTAGTGTTTTATTATACCTTGTACATTATATAGGTAAATACGTATTTTGTAAAACTGTGTAAGCGTCTTTTGTACAAACTGTATATACATTAAAGTATTTTATTAATATTACTTACATTGTTTTCTTAAACCTTCCAGAAATATGGATGAGTAAAATATAAAATATGTCAGTATTGTGCTGTGAATACTTCTAGTCCATTTTTGTCCCTATCGATATTGTTATTAAAGATTTTTTTCGGAACCGCCGAATATTTGTTTACTCTCTATAAAGCAGAGAAAAATGTACGTAGCACTTTTCGTGGTTTTTATATCACTCATCGGTACTACAGATACTATAAAATTAAAAATGACGTCAAGTAGGTTGACTCTGCACGCAACGCCGTCATCAGTTCATAAAGGAATAAGTTCAGCGCAATTTAAATCCTGTGAGAAGAAAGATAGTTACCAACATGTACAACAGAGAAATTAAACGGATTAAGTCAGTCAAACATGCCCCTTTGCAATTAATCCATAGACATGTTTTTCTTGAACTACCGGTAATTACTGTCCATCCGGCATGCCAGCGCGCAGCGCAGCATCGCTGCAGTAATCGTCCTTTTCGTACATAGTCTGTGTACGTGTATATGTTTTTTCCCTGAAGTTCCGTTAGATTGTTCAACTGGTTACCGGTTCGCCGGGCAGAGAGCTTAGATAACGGGAGCTCGAGAATCGGAAACATTTCTCTATCATTCTAAGTTATGAAACAAATGTACCAGGAAATTATGATGTGTGAAATATGGCTGGTATGTGCATAGAATTACCGGGGTTCGGACCGTATAAATATACTAAGATCAAAAAAATTTCAATTCATGTTGCATGCACCACACGTGTTCATCCGTGTGGCGTCTCGTTTCCCCTGTATCCCCCTATAGCCCTACGGTACCATTGGGCGTTTGGGACTCAGATCTTCGTAGTGGTCCAATTATAAAGAAACGTCAAAAAGTAAAGTTTGTACGAGTTTAATTTTTTTTCGTTTTTGTTTTTTTCTCCGCCTCCTCTGGCCCGAGTCTCAAAAACTACAAGCCCTTTTCACCCATGGCAAAATAGCAACCTTGTGTGAAAGTTTCATCAAAACCCTAGCGGTACTTATCAAGTTATAGACGAGTCAAGGATTGGCGGACAGACGGACAGACCGACGGAAACATCCAAAAAACACAATATCTTATTCTCGACATTTTTTGCGATTACAACATTTCCTCGCCCAGTGTAGTAGTGGGAGTAGTATTTATTGGCCATATTGATACAGAAGTATATATGGCAGGTCAGTACAAAGAGAAAAATGACTAAGTTAATAAATAAATAAAGATCACAGGCAAAAACCTCATAGTAATGTAAACAAAAAATGCTAAGACATAAAGGAATACCTATGGAAAAATTATATTTAATTATATTATTTATCCTTGTGTTTTAAAAACTCACAAATTGTATAAAACCCTTCATCTGGTCAAACAACGATTTCGCTTCATTTTTAAAATTTTGGTATGTTATTTTTAAAATGTGGATGCAGCTTATTATGAAATATTACACAGTTGTAATCTGGGGAGCACTTGAAGCGACTGGCATTATGTTTTGCACTGTTTCTGGGATTATATGTATTATGTATGTGTGTATGTAAACTCTCAAGCTGGAACAGGTATTTTCAAAAAAATTAAAGATATAGTATTGGTCTTTTTGTCCTTGCTGGCGTAGGAACCAAAAAAATGGCCTCAAGTAAGTTCACTCTGTACTTGCCACGCAACACTGTCATCAGGTCCTAAAGCATTATATTTGGCACAAGTTAGCCCTTCTAATATAAACAAAATAGTTACGAAAATTCATAGCAAAATATTAAATGACCTTCCCCCTCTACTCTACTTGACAGAAATTCTCGCACACCCTTGATCTTTGGGAAATACCAATCCCGCGTGAATCACGATATTGACCTTCATCGTGCTCACAGCAGTGCGAAAACGATTGCCGTCTCTGACGTACGACCACCGTTGACGACACTTGTCCTTTGGGGGACCACGTTATTTATCGGCTCCTGACTGTTGGAGATATTTTAGAGAAGTTTTAAGGGCAAATGTACCGGGACATGTATGATGAGTGAAATATGTCTAATAAGTGCACAGAATTACTGGGGTTACCTCCCCAACCCCCTGCAAACTCTATCCACCAATTTCACTGTTCAACATTTTGAAAATTTTTTTTGCTCTCTGAAATTTTTTGGGTTTTTTGCGTCTATTGTGTTGTGTTTTTCCCCCATCACCAACAAGTTTTTAGAGAAGGGAGAATTAAAATCTGAAATTCTCAAATTGTAAGTGATCTAGTAGTTTTGAATTTTTAAAAATTGGAAGAAATAAAAATTCCACTTCCACGAAAATATACAAAATCAAATCAAACAATTTATTTGGTTGTCTTTTTTTCGCTTGTATTCGCCACGAGCGGTTTCACGTTTAATGGTCCAGCAGTAGTCCGCCAGCATGTTTGGGGTCCCTTTTGCACTATTGCACTTCTTCATCTGAGCAATTTGTTGGTCAAATCGTTCGCCGTGCTCGTCTGAAATTTCACCCAAATTTTCAAGGATGAATTCTGAATGGGAGTGAAGAAAATGCAGCATAAGTAACATATTGCAACCTAAGGCCTTATAAGATTCGATAACTTCTTCAACTAGATGTTTGTAGTTGTCCAACTTTTTGTTGCCTAGGAAGTTGGCCTACATTTCTGAAGGCATCCCATACCTTTTTTCTTTTCTCGAAAGTGTAGTGTTAAAGCTTTGGTTCATAAAAAGTTTTCATATTTGAGGTCAAACGAAAATTCCTTCTTTGAGCTTTGCTTCACTTAGACGCGGAGATTTCCGTCTCAAATAAAGGAATGCATTTCCTTCTCTATATAAGGCTTTCACAAAAAATTCTATAAACCCTAGTTTTATGTGCCAAGGAGATAAATAAACTTTCTGTTAATCTACTAAGGGTTCATTGACATGACATTTATCTGGCCGGACACAACGTTCTCATGTAACGGCCAATGTTTGACTAAATAATGTTGGTTTCTGGCTCTGCTGTCCCATTCACATAAAAAACAACAAAATTTTGCGAAGCCACTCTGCAGTCCTGTGAGTAATGGCAGAACTTTGAGATCGGCAGAGATATTCCACTTATCTTATGCTTCGGAGTAATCTGCGCATGTTCTGCTTCTTTCATACTTACAGCATGACCAACGGGAGCTGATGGCCGTTTGTTTCCATTGAACAACCAAATTGCCTTTATACTTTTCTAATAGTCAATAAATAGTCGCCACTCGGTAGGAACATAGGAAATCCTAAGTTCATTCGGTAAACCTGGAATATCATGACAGTAAACTAGGTCAGTTTCCATCAAGACAAATACGGCCAGCATAAACTGCCTGTTCCGAAACGTGAAAATTTTTTCACCTGTTTGTAAAAGGTTCGATTGCTGCAAACGAGATTCAAGTAGTTGTGCTTTTCTTTTGAGAAGATCTAAATCACAAACTAGATCATTGAGCTCTTCCTGAGATATAAAATGTGGCTGTTTGCTACCTACTACATTCGAAAACGACTTCCTCTTCAAAACTTGGACCGACTTCTGGCTCCTCTATGTCAGAATTATCTGGTTTATCATTTTTCTTTGGATGCTTAGGAACATTTATGCTAGAAGAGTCATGAGGCATAGGTCTACCGACTGAGGGGATATTAGGGTAGACTATTTTACGCTTGCTTTTAATAGAAAATGCCAGAATTTTTGTTAAGCAAAAGTAACAATCATCAAAATGATTCATAGGTTTCCCCAAATCATTGGCACTCCAAATTTCATATATGTGTGAGTATCCTATACTTCGCGGAGCATACGGCCCTGGTATCTCCTTTATTTGAAACCCTAGGGGGTTGAGACTTCGTAGATTCCCCACCATGCGGTGTTGCCAGATTGTACGTACTTGGCAACATCGTACTTTATTATGATTATGCTATAGAAAGATAAATATCGCACAGGTACATTCTTACACTTGCTTAAGGCATGTTGTTGGTGCTCTCCGTTACGTGATAAAGGTCGGTGTAAGGGTTAAATATGTAGAACATATCGAAATAACATATTTGTTTGGGAGAAAGGATTTTCGTGCAGAACAGTGGTTTTAGGTCCTTCAAAATGTTTTCCGAAAATGATAAGGATCATCTGAAACGACAACGAACGCAGTTTGAATGTCTTTTTTTTCATGTTTGGCCTTTTTCTCCGCCTCCTCTGGGTCGATTTTTAAAAACTACAAAGCTTTTGCTTCCTAACATTGCGTAAAAATTTCTTCGAAATCCGAGCGGTCCTTCTCAAGTTATAGGCGGTTATAAGAGCAACGGACAGACCGACAGACAGACAGACCGGCGGAAATGAGTGAGATGTACATACAGTTCCTCTAACATCCAAAAAACATAGTATCACAGTTCCGAAAATCTTGGCAAATACAACACATCCACGCCAGTAGGCGTGGGAAGTAAAAAGAACGCCCAGTCGGTGTGACCCCTTTGCTGAGGCTTTCTGTTTCTGGAAATGGCCGTTGCCACCTCAGAAGTCTGAACAGTAAACATTTTTGCGTGTGGTAACAATTCGTAGTATAACTTTGACTGTAGTCTCTTGGTACAAGTTGTGAACTGGTTGAGATTACTTGAATAGAGGGCAATTTTCCTTGTTAGATTAAAATGGTTGGCATTTCTAAATAAAGACACGTTGTATAATCGTCTTTATACCATCGGTTTTATAACCTTCGAAAGAGAAAAGAAGAAAATTTTAAGGTTCGCATAAGCTGAATTTGAAAACAAAAGATGATATGGGTCTTGAAGTTTCATGTAAACTGAATTCGATAACGACACCGCCGTTTCTGTCACATCCAAACCTATGCAAAGAAGCTACACAGGTTGGACAAATTCTATTTTTAACCATCTGCAGAAGTGCAATAGTTTACATATAGAAATCTAGTTTTTTAAATGGTGTAAAAAACAGATACACTTTCGCGATGAAATTCCTAAATTTAGAATTCCAAAAAGAAATATCATACCTTTGCTGGCCGAAAACGGTAAAGGTCATTTC